GGCGTTGTCAGGCTGCAGTGGGTTTCAGCTCGAGTATAACAGAGAGTCTTCTGGCCTCCCTTCCATGCGTCTCTGGGTGGGGGGAGGGTCTGGACAGTCACTCAGGGACACTGAAGAGCCGTCCGAAGAGTCTGTTAATGCGAGGTGAGGAGTCTGTTCTGATCTGTCTGTCCTCGTCTGGTCTGGTTGCTGTCTGGTCTGTCTGTCTCCTGTCTGCTGCGGTGTCTGTCTGTTTCTGTCTGTCTGTCTGTTTCTCTGTCTGTCTCTCTGTTCGGTCTCTCTGTCTCTCTGTCTGTCTGTCTTGTTGTCTGTGTCTGTCTGGTCGTCTCTGTACTGTCGTGTCTCTCTGTCCGTCTGTCTGTCTCTCTGCCTTGCTGCAGCTGAACCAATCAATAATCAATCAATCAGGTGTACTTGAGTATACCCGAGGTCGTGAGCTCATCAGCGCGTGCCTCCAGGTGAGGTTCTGAAGGATCACGTGGAGTCGAGCTTCGATGCACGACTGGTGATCCTGCTGCCCGAAGGAACAGTGCAGGTCACGAACCCCCGCATCGTCGCTGCTTTATGCTCCGACATAGCTACTGCTACAAATATACTAAACATCTGGTTTTCAGGACATCCAGTTCCCCGAACTTTAATAATGAAAAACACGCGTAATGTGTTTTAGATCTCCGCTGGGAGGCGTCTGTGTAAGCAGGAACGGTCCGTCGTCCGTGGCACCCAGGCACTTGCCTGCCGGCGGTGGAAACTGCGAGCCAGGCCCATGATTCGTGGCAGGGGGCGTCCTGGGAGCACGGTCGGTCTGACTGGTCACAGACGTCTTGACAGGGGGGGGCAGCTCGTCCTGGATTTTAAGAGAGCGCGCCAAACATCGTCCTTGAAGTCCCTGGAACCACAACAACCACGTGTTTTAATCATGTCGCTGATGTACACATGAGGACAAGCGTTAAACTGTCAACATTATATTGAAGCAACCACTGGAACAACAACCTGCTTACTGCCTTGACAAGGGCGTGGAAAAACAGTGTCCAACTCCGTTCCTCAGCAGGTTAGTCTAGATGCACCAGGACAGTCAGTGGAGGTTGCTGTGCTGTCTGTCCAACCTTCGTCCTCCTCACAGGTTAGTAAGTGACAGATCCAGTGACGCTGTGTGCCGCTGTGGTCCAACTCGTTCCTCAGCAGGTGTAGTTGAAATGAGTGTATACGAGTCAGTGTGAGCAGGAATTGTCGTCTGTCAGAGTTGAAAGAGAATCAGGCAGTCTCACCGCTGATGGGGTGAGAATAACGAGGGGGTTTTTATGACTGTTGCCTTAAAGACAGCCGCTGTTTTTTGGAATGGGAGTTTGGCTGTGAACAGGTCGCGTGGAGCAGAGGGGCAATGTCTCGACACCTTAATAATCCATAAAGACCCGGAGCTGAGCCGACCTTCTAGAATAATGAACCTTTACAGCAGAAAGTAACAGGAAGTGGAGATAAACCCTCCTGGTTTCTTCTTCTGTGGTAGTAAACAGGAAACTGATCAACAACTATTGATGTATTTTAATATATAAACCTCCTTGTTTTAGTCTTTTTCTGGTTTTAGTTTGAAGTTGTTTGACCTGATGAATTTAAATAAATACAAATAATATTTAATAAGTTCTCAGAAGTCGACACTGAAGAAAAACTCAAATAAAATAGTTTTAAAAGCATCAACGGTGATAAAAACATAATTTAATATTTAATGTGGTTTCATGTTACAGTATCATACATGGAGACTTTGGTCTGTTGTACCTGAACAGGAAGCTGGAAAACTGCAGACCTTCAAAATAAAGTCTCACTGTCACATTAAAATAACAAATATATAAAAACATTAAGTAACATAATAATAATACCTTCAGTAATACCTTCATGGCTGCAATACCTGTGTGTGTGTTACTGTGTGTGTGTGTTACTGTGTGTGTGTGTGTGTGTGTTTGTGTTGTGTGTGTGTGTGTGTGTTACTGTGTGTGTGTGTGTGGTCAGACTGGTTTTTTCCTTTCTAAGAATAAAGTTTCAGTGTAAAGCAGCTTCAGGGAGGAGAGCAGACACACCTGTTACCTGTTCAATAGGGGTTGTTACAGGTTACAGGTGAGGCAGGTGATGACTCATCCAGAAGGCCACGCCCCCACACACACTGACCTTCACCTTCTTTACCTGTGAGTCAGACTGAACACACCTGCTCAGTTTGTGATCATCTCCTACCAGCAGAGTAAAGTCGATGATAATCTGAATGTAATTTGGTGGAAACGTGATTCTGAGAAAGTACGGAGGCCTCAGAGGATCAATATAAAATATATTAATGTAACTTTATTGATCCTGATTTATACTCTGCTCTGATTGGCTGATTGTCAATCTGTGCATTCGTTCATCTTTAATGACTAATTACATTTGAATTATCTTTAATTAACATTAACTGCGCTGATTTTATTCTGAAAGGTCCATATCGGAGGTTTATTTGTTTATTGATCTTTGCGTTCGTTTTAACTCTGAAATGATTCATTAAAATCATTTAGTCATTGTGCTAAGCTAGGCTAACAGTTCCTACCTGTGTCCAGTCATTGTGCTAAGCTAGGCTAAAGCCACCCTCCCGTGCTGAAGCTGCTTTAGTGAAACTGATCTCGGACCAGCTGCTGGTTCTCGGGGGCGTTGAGCAGCTACGTGGCGAGCGAGGCGGGGACGATCTCTCTCAGCAGTCTGTTGAGTGCGTTGACTTTCTCCTCCAACAGGAAGTTCTTCTTCTCTGCGTTCTTCTGCCGCTGCTCGGTGACCTGCAGCGCCTTCATCAGCTGAGAGTTCTCCACGTACAGATCCTTCAGCAGCACGCTGGACTTCGTGTTCTTCGCCAGCTGCAGGCGACAAAACAACACGTCACGTTACGTACGAGTGGCCAAAAGTACGTGGACGGAGGCGGGGGGGGGACACCTGTCTGAAGAACTCACCTGTTCTTTGAGCTGCTGGACTTTCTCCTGCAGAACCATCCGGACTCCCTTCAGTTTGGTCTCCAGCTCCTCCATCCTCTGCTGCAGGGCCGACATCGCCTTCTCGTACTGCTCCTGAACACAACACGTAAGCAGTAAGTGAGTGGATGGATGTAAACAGCATATTATAATTATATATATATATATATATATATATAGATATATAGATATATAGATATATAGATATAGATATATATATATAGATATAGATATATATATATATATATATATAACGTTCTGATTTTATCCCTTTAGCCTTTTCCAGAGATTTTAAATGATAATATTGTACAACACGTTTCTTGTGACCTTTTAAAGTTTACCATGAATTCAAAATGAACTGAAGGTTCAGAAACATTGAAGAAAAGGACTCGTTTTATATTTATGTGTTGATTTGTGTTATTTAGTGACAGTATTAGTGTCAGTGTCAGGACGTCAGCAGTTTGCAGTAAGAGCTGGAGTCCGGCTACTTCCCAGTAGTTCAGTCAAAACTACAACTGTTAGTTCTAAAAACTGATTTGATCTGTTTTTGTTCGTTATGTCCATAAAACAGTTCAGAACAAAGATGTTATTGTTTCTCTCTGTTGCTTCCAGTGATTATGGGTGATGGAATATTGAACTGGGAGCTAACTAACTGCTAACTGCTGCAGTTATCAGCAGCTGATGGAGCTCCTGGAGCTGATTTGGTTCCACTGAATTATTTCGGAGCTTCTTTGATTGTTTCATTCTCTCTGCAGTCGACTTCTGTTGTGAACTTTCTTCCCACGACTGAGTGAAGACATACGACAGTGACACCGATCACACAGATCACACAGGCTCTGTAAACGCTTCACTACGAATATTAATTATACAGACACGTTTTAACACACACGTATCGATCAATACTCGATATCAGTCGAGACTTCAGGTATCAGAAGAAAAACAAAAGTGGTATCGGAACGTCTCCTGGCTGTACAATCTATTTAGAGAACGAGCATGTTGCTAACAGTCTGTCCTGCTGAAGCCTGCGACCTTTGACCTTCAACCTCTGGGCGTTTACCTGCTTCATGCTGATCTGGGAGCTGCTCTGCTGGCTCTGAAGCCTCAGCGTCTCCTCCAGCTGCTGACTCCTCCTCTGCTCCTCCAGCAGCCGGGCCTGCAGCAGCACCACCTGCTCCCTGCAGCCGTCACCTGCTCGCTCCTGCAGCTCCTGAAGCCGCCGCAGGTGCTGCGCCTGGACCAGACCCAGGGCGGCGTCAGCCCGTGCCGCCTGCACGCACACACGCACACACAGACACACAGTTGTGAATATTAAACTCTGTTTCAGTGTTTGGTATCAGATCTTTTAGTGGTCTGAAGTCCTGACCTGGTCCTGAGCCTGCGACCGCGCCGTCTCCACCGTGTTCAGTTTGGTCTTCAGGTTCTGCTGCTCCTGGGTCAGTTTCTGGACCTCCAGGGTCTGGACCTGCAGCTCCGACAGCTGAAAAACATCAGACCTGTGTCAGTGTGAGCGGCTCCGGGGAATCCTCAGGTTTCTGGGTTCAGATCAGCAGTCGGTACCTTATGTTGGAGCTCCTGGTTCTGGACTCTCAGTTTGTGGGTCTCCTCCTGCTGAGAGATTGAGGTCTGCTCCTCCTGCTCCTCCAGAGCCTGATGGAGCTCCTCTTTCTCCCTCATCAGCTTCCTGACGCCGCTCTCCAACTCCTCCACCTGACAGCCACAACCACACGAGCTCACAGTCATAATGTTCGTCTATCAGTGACCTCCTGTTCAACTTTTACCTGAGTTTAATGGAAAATAACTGTTTTTGATTTGACTGATTTTCTTTGTTTTGAAAAACTGACTTTTCTTAGACATCTCCTTCAGATGGCGAGACAGCGTAAGTGCAACTAGACAGTCTGATCGATTCATCAAGTCATTAAAGTATTTCACGCTCTGATAGTGCGATGTTCTCATGTGAGTGTGTGCAGACGCACTGTGGAGCCTGTAGGGGGTGCTAGATCTCTACCGGTGTGTAATTATTGACTTTTTGGACCCACTGCATCCTGTGGATTTGTTTTTCCCGTACTGACCTTCTCCTGAGCGTCCTGCAGCTTCCTCTGCAGGTCAGTCACTTCCTGGGCGCGGCCGAGTTTCTCCTGATTGACGGCGTGGAGCTGAGAGCGAAGCAGCTCGGTCTCCGACTCCAGAGAGAGCGCCGACTGCTGCAGCTTCTCCACCTGCCGAGAGCAAATAACAGTGAGGAGACATTCGGGTCCGAGCTCGCTCTGCGCGTTCCCCTCGTTACTGTCTGACCTTCTTGTTCCGGTCGTCGGCTTCTCTCAGCAGTTTGGTCTTGTCCTCCTCCAACCACTGCAGCTTCAGAGTCACACTGCTGAGCTCCGCCTCCACCTCCGACAGACGAGCCAGCTGAGAGAGAATAAAACCCGTGTGTCAACCAGAGGTAGCTCCACCAGCTCAGCTAACGTCAGCATGATATCATATTTAAAGTGAATTTTATTCAGAAGCCGTTTTGTTCGAGTGAAGAGGAACTGAAGTACCTTCTCCTTGTAGGACTGGAGCTCTCTCTCCAGCAGCTGTCTCTCCTGCGTCCAGACCGCCTGCTGCTGCAGCTTCTCTCTCTCCTGCTGCAGCGCCGCATCCTGCAGCCGCCGCACCTGAAACCACCACAACGTCTGACGAGGAGCTACAAACGGCGTCTGAACACTTTCAACTCAAAGCTTCAAAGACCGACGGAACTCAAACTCTTCATAACTTCTCATTATGAACGTCTTCAGATTACACCGACCACATTTAAAGTTGATCCGATCAATAATGTCGTAAAACATCAAATCTGAAAATATTCAGAAAGTTACAGTTAAATTCAAAATGGCCGACTTCCTGTTGGGTTTGGGATGTGGCTCCAGGAGGTTCTCCGTACGTCTGGAGACGATCTACATGTGCCGATGGGTTTAATACACTGGACTCTTTAGGGGGCGCTGTCGAGCCATTTCACCGTGTGAATGTGGAACGTCTGTTTCTGAGTTTCAGAGCTTTCAGAACCTACAATCGTCATCAACTGCGTCTTTCACTTTGCTCACCGAAGCTCCCTCCTCCTCCTGCTCCTTGGAGACCGTTGCCAGGCGCTCCTGCAGCATCCGGACAGACTCCTGGTCTCCACGGAGACGGGCGCTCAGCTCCGCGTTGTCGTTGCTGAGCTGCAAGTTCCTGCTGCTCAGGTCCAGAACCTCTTCACGATATCTGGAGTTCTGCGGGAGGAGGAAGAGGAAGAGGAAGAGGAAGAGGAAGAGGAGGAGAAGAAACGTTGAACAGTCTTTTGTCTTCCCCTCAGAGGTCGAAGGTCAAAGAATAAAAGGATTCTTGCTAAACGGCCCTTCATCAGGACAGTTTCTCACCTCTTTGTGGAGCCTCTCCTCCTCTTCTCTGCTCCTGTCGTGCTCTCTCTCCAGCTCCTCCAGTTTCCTCCTGACGGAAGGAGCAGCAGGTTTATTCAGTTTACTGTCTGACTGTATTTATTTAATTAAATACAAATAAAAGCTATTGAAAGGATTTTTCCTGATAAAAGCAGCAGCAGCTAAAAATAAACCAACATTTTAATGAATGAGGTTGTTATGGGAGCTTTTTGTGGGTTTCCTTAGAGAACATGTCAGAAGATAATTGGCTGATTATCTGGAATCAGTCAGCTGATTAACCAGTCTATTGCTAGGCAACATCATCCATGATCTGTGTGTAAATGTGTAACGTTCCCATCCTGCTGAGGGCTGAATGAATGATTAATGATTATAGGCTGATCGATCACAATTCACATTCTGACAAATCAAGACCTGGCCACATTAAATAATTTATTGGAATACTGAAAACAAAAGGTCTCTTCCCACCTCTTTCTTGGTGACATTCGTCCTCCAGGTTCGGGACTTCTCCCTGCTGGCAACAGGGCTGAGTCGCTCCTGAAGAGGCTCCGTTTCCTCCAGTCGGAAACCTCCTTCCAAGCTGAGTCCCTGCAGCCCCACACCAGACAGGAGCAGAGACGTACCGGCAGCTCAAAACCCCAGCGTCAGTCAGCCTGCAGAAGTTTACTGTGGCTGATTGGAATAGATACTGATGATACTAATAATGATTCAGGAATCTGAAGACCTCAGTTCTGCTCAAACTCAGTGCTTGTTGGATTTTATAATGACGTTCGAAAACTAGTTTATTAATTCCAGGTATTTGTTGTACGTGCAGCCGAAGACACACAGACAGCGGAGCAACAGATTTCACCATTTTTATTATTTTTAATATTATATTATATTAATTAAGTCACAATATTTAAACAACTCTTTAATTGAAGCCGTTTTGGGTTTCTTCAGAGCCGATGGACTCTTACGGACTAAAGGGAATATAAATAAAGGAGGAATGGACTTAATGACCACCTCAAAGGTTGGGAGTCAGCAACTGAACTGATCTAACAATCAATATGTCCATATTGATCTGCTCAAATGCTTTAACAGGTTTTATACGTACGAAGAACTTCTATAAAATCCAGAACAGGCTTCTAAAGGAGACCGGCGTCTATTAGCGGACCGCTTGCTTTTATTAGAAGTTTTAGGCCCCCAAAGTAAAATTGGGGCTCCCGGTAGAAACCTCCTGAACCATGAACATCTGAAAGGAATGCCATAACCGGAGATGTCCTGAGCTGCAATTGAGCCAATGTGGTGAAGACAACAACTCCCATGACCCTACACTGCTTCACCACCCGTCATCACACTTCCTGTCATTGTTTGATGGTGAGATGCCCCCCTAGTGGCAGAAACTACAGACTGCAGCTTTATAATGAGCCAATATGTTAATGGTCTTTTCTAGTTACAGTTCCTTTGAAGCAAACTGAGGCCTTAAATCTGTTCTTTCATCTGGTCAAAGATAAAGTTTGTACTAAAATGAAAACAAGCTGCATCAACGGAGGATTTAAACCAACATTTGAGTTTAAAGAGAAACCAACAAGACGGCGTGACACAGAAACACGGAGCTGCAGTGATGAACAGTCTCATGCGGTTGTCATTTGGTTAGCGATGAGGTGAAGAGTTAAAAAGAGTCTGCAGCAGTGCATTGTGGGCGTTTCATTCTGTTACCTGCAGTTAGTCATTCAAATACTGAGATGGAGGTTAGTCATCATTCGGAACAGGTTTTGGATCCCTGAGTCGGTCTCATGCTCCACAAACCTGTGTGGACTCCCCGGGTCCATCACCTCCTCCAGGGCCAGGACCAGCTTCTCCAGCTCCATCAGCTGCTGCACCATCACCCTCTTCTCCTGTTCAAAGTCCTCCTGCGCCGTCCTCAGCTGGTTCTGGGAGTCCTGCAGGGCCTGCTGTAGCTGGTTCTGGGAGTCCTGCAGGGCCTGCTGTAGCTGGGGGACCTGTTGTCTGGCCAGGTTCAGGTCTCTGTCCTTCGCTTCCAGCCGGTTGGTCAGCTGCTCTACGTTGCGGTGATGCTTATCTGAGGAGGCTTTGGTTTGACGTAAGCGGTTGGCGGCGTCCGCCACCTCGGCCCGGAGCCGATCCACCTCGCTGGTTTTGGCGTTGAGCTGCCTCCTGAGGTCCAGGACCAGGTCTGCGGTGTCGTTGAGCTGGGAGCTGAGCTCTCTGAGATGGTCTCTGAGTGTGGTGATCTCCTCCTCCATCTCTACGATCTGGGTGGAGAGCTGGTCGGCCAGCCGTGTGTAGCTCCCGTTCTCCTGGCTCAGACGACAGACCTCCTCCTGCTCCTCATCCAGACTGGCCCGGAGCTGCGAGCTCCTGGTCTGCTCTTGCTTCAGAGCCTCCTGCAGACCCGCCTCAGCGCTCCTCCTCTTGTCTAACTCCTCAGAGACACCGTCCAGCTCCAGCTGCAGGGTGTCCACAGCCATGGCCTGGTCCTTCAGGTCCTGGATCAGCCTGTCGCGGTCGGTCTTCAGCGAGTCCAGCTCAGCGGTGAGTCTGGACAGACATTCAGTTTTGTTCCTCATGGCCTCCTGTAGACTCTCCAGCTCGGCCCTCAGGGCGCCGGCGGTCTGCTCTCTGGCTCTGAGCTGCGCCTGCTGCTGGACGAAGGCGTTGGACAGGCGGCTGCAGTTGTCCACCACCACCTCCCGGTCCTGCAGGATGCTGTCGGACGCAGCCCGGAGGTTTCCCAGCTCCTCTTTCAGCTGGGTCACCTGAACCAGGAGCTGCTCCTCTTCGGTCTTCACCAGCTGCAGCTCCTCCTCTACGGAGCTCTTCTCTGAGGCGAGCCGTTTATTTAAAACCTCATGAGACTCCAGGAAGGTGATGCTCTCCTCCAGCTGAGTGCAAGCCTCCTCCAGTCTGGCCTCCAGCTCACAACAACGCCCACGAGAAGCTTTAAGATCGTCCTCTAACTGACCACAGCGCTCTCTGAGCTCCTCTAAACTGGCCTCTGATTGGCTGATCTGCAGATGGGAGTTCTGTATGGTCTCCTTCAGCTGACGGACCTCCTCCTCATGCTGCTCCTCCATCCTCTTCTTCTCTGAGGAGAACTGACTGCAGATCCTGGCCTGCTCCTCCCCAGCTCTCTTCTCGCACTGCAGCTTCTCCTGCTCTGATTGGGCGAGCCGGTTCTCCCAGAATCCCCTCTGCTCCTGCAGCCACTGGCGCTCCCGGTGGAGCTGGTGGAGGAGGCGGCGCTGACCCTCGGCGTGCTGCAGCTTCATCTGAGAGAGCTGCTGCTCCGTTTCCTCCCTGAATGCATACAGCGGATGGATCTACTTACACCGTGTGAGTGAAACCACCGGAGTCTGAGACGGTCGGACTTCCTGTTAAGTGATGAAACTGACACCAGAATCATCCACCGGTGTTTCTCACGCCGGCACTCTCGGTTTTATTGGACGGTGAAGATGTTTCTCATATTTCTTTTAGAACGGATTCATCTTAAAGAGGAATTTCACCACTGGAAAGATTGAGAGATTCTACATGGCCAAACAAATCTGAGAGAAACGACTGTGGTATTCTGTTTTGCTCAAAATGTATAAAACCTACAGTATCCAGAATGCACTGGGCCACAACGGACCAAAGAACTACAGCTGGCGGGTGCAGGGTCAGGGTACTTTGCGGCCAACAGATAACCCAAACTCTAAATAGTTTACTGGTCGCTCAAATTGATCAAAATGAGATTTTAATTGTAACATCAGAAGGGAAAACTGCAAAGAAATGACTGAAAAACACCAGTACTTCTGTGGACTGAATCTGTAAGAGTTAAAGTGTATTCTTTATTTAGAATACTTTCAGCACTTTATCTCGTCGTCAGGCAGCTCTTTCTGATCATCTATGATCTCTTCAAAGCCATAGTAATTTCAGTAACTTCACTACACAGAGTTTAGCTCCGCGTCAGAGAGAAGTCTGAAATTCAGTTGAAGTTCATATGTTGTGATTTTCTGTTTGTACCTTTCTCTCTAATATTTTTAAGAACTCACATTTTGTATGAGTTAATGTGCCCCTGTGCATGCTGGGTATTAAACCTGAGAATCGAGAACAGCTGTGACGCCGTCAGTACGTTCCCGTCTTTGTGCCGTAACGCCGAACACAGCTGTGAGGTCACCACCCACCTGACCACCATCACTTCCTGGTCCATCTTCAGCTTCAGCTCGGCCTCCAGCTGATCCTTCTCAGCACTCAGCCTCTGGACCAGGTTCCCGATCTCTCTGGCAAAGTTCTGCTCCAGCTCCGCCCGCTCCCGCTGCATTCTGGGATTCAAATACAGACGTGGATAGAAACACTAAAGCCTGAATGTAGTCTAATATTTCGTTATAATACGTTTTATACCACTGAATATCTGATCTCAGCCGTCCGTACACACCATCCAATATTCATATCGATATTTGTCGTTGTTGGTACTGACTTTGAATCTTGCTACCATAAAGGTAGCTCTCTGACTCGTAGCATTGTCGTCTTCCTCACCTGCGCTCCTGCTCGTTGCTCCACCCTCCTCCTCCTCCTCCTCCTCCTCCTCCATGTTGGATCTGAGTCTGCAGTTTGTCCAGAGTCTCCTTCAGCTGCTTCACCTGCTGCTCCGCCTGAGCTTTCTGCTCCTCCAGCTCACTGATCTCCAGCTGACACGACCAAACAAACAGGAAGAATTTTAAAATATTAAAGAAAACAGTCATTTATTTTATCCGTTTATATCCAGTTTACATTTTACCAGCTGTGGAAAACGGTGCAAAATACAGGCAGCAGGACTCCCGGGCTGATCAGGCCTGCTTCCTGTGTGCAGGTCCCTCTGTGGGCGGGCATACACTGACGACAGACCGACTGATGTGAAAGATATAAAAACATCATCGTTCTCATTTTTACCTTGAAGGCCTGAGAGATGTCTTTACGTTCGACCTCCATACTCTGCCTCATCAGATCCAGACTGCGTTCGTAGTAGTTCACCTGGAAGAGGAAGAGGAAGAGGAAGAGGAAGAGGAGGGTTTTTATCCTGACAATGGAACAAACTGCTGATACAGCAGATATAGCAGCCAGCTAACAGAGTTTACACTCTTTATATTCTCTCTCTTTGTTTCCTGAGTGTTTTCTTACTTTTGGACTAGTGGAGCAGTCTAAAAGTTAACGTCTGTTTAATCAACAGTGACATTGGACACACTCAGGTGAGACTAATGTGCGTTACCTGCGTCTCGAGCTGGATGTGCAGCTGCTGCAGCTCCTGGTTGTGTTTCTGCTCCAGCTGCTCCAGAGCCAGTTCAGTCTGGATGCTGACGGCGGGACCAGAGACGCTGTCCAATGAGCACAGAGCTGAGACAGAGCAGAGACCTTCATCATCACTAATCTTTATGGATGATATTGA